ACTTTGGCTATTCTTTTTTTTTTTTTATCACTGTTGTTTTTAAATATTCCCTTGTGACAATAGATCTGCCAATAAATAATATAGATTACATTGTGTAACAAAATTTTGATTTTTTTTTGTCTTTGGTAGAAAAAAGTATTTCCTAATTGCTTCTGTCTAGAAAGCAAAGGAAATGACTACTATTCTCTTTAAACTTTGCTTTTGTGATCTAGACATCGATGTTTTGAAACTAATCTATGTTCTCTTACATCCCAGAGAGATTCTAAGTTGCTGAAGGAGAATTTTCTAGAACTTTTGAGAAGTTTTTAAAAGTTTCAAGAATTTCCAGATTACCAAAGATTGTATGATAAAAACATGGTGGAAGATTATATTTTTGGGATTGATTCATGAAAGTAATTTACATTATAAGCCTAAATCAGAAAAAAATTGTCATCTCCCTTGTGTTATCCTAGAATAAAAAAAAATCTACTTTTAATAATGTGCCATTTTGTTTCTACTTAGTGTAAACAATAATGTTTACCTTTGCCACTTTCTCAATGGGAATAGATGAATTCCAAAAATCATTATTATCTCAAAGCATAAAATCTTTCAACCCAAAAACATTTTTTGGCTTTAGATAACCTGCAACATGGGAACAGAGCAGCAGCAGCAAACAAGCATTGACTGAGACAAAAAGATACATGTCAGGTGATATCAATAATTGTTGTAGAGTAGTTTTCACAGTGGAGGCTTGTATTTCACTAAGTCGGTCCTAAAAAGTGTCCGACGTACAAAATGTTAGGAACTTGAAATAAGAGTTAATGACGCAGCAATCTAGTTGTGATGGTTGATACTTCAATGTCCGACATCGACTGACTCACTCAACACCACTGAGCCCAACTGGCCACTGCTACTACTACTTATTATCTGTGGGAGAGTCTATTACAATAGAATAAGTAATGTTCTGGTATAACAATAATAATGTGTAAGAAAATTTTAATTTTCATTGTCTTTGGTCCATAAGGATTATTTCCTAATTGCTTCTGTCTAAAAAGCAAAGGAAATGACTATTTCTGTCAAACTTTGCTTTTGTAACCTGAACATAGTTTTTTTTTAACTAACCTAATTTAAATTACATTCTAGAACTATTTAGCACTGAGTTGCTGAAGGAGAATTTTCTAGAAGTTTCAAAAAGTTTCAAGAATTTCTAGAATGTTCTGGCAACATAGATGGCAGAATTAATACAGTGAACGTAAGCTCAACAGTTCAGTTTACTTCCAGCTGTCCAAGTGCGAACAAGTCATCATTGATAGATACATTTGTCACAGATGGCATCAATAGGCTATAAGCATTCGGGTGACACATTTTGCTATGTCTATAAATGTTACTATCAAATCCTGACATTTTGTTTCTACTTTACATGAATAAGAATGGTCACATTTGCCAATTTTCCCAATGGGAATAAGACAGTTTCAGAAATATCATTATCCTAGTCACAAAAGCAAAGTTTGAAGAAAATATTAGCCATTTTTCATACTTTCTTGGTGTAGGTAAGTAGAAAGTAATAGTTGCTATTCAAGGACGAAAATCGAGTTACGTAGTGTTATTATAATTATATTAGCAATGATATAATATTAACATATATTTAATATTAATGTTAATATTACATAATATTAACAATGCTGTAATATTGCTAACAATGTAACAAATAAAATAAATTATTACATAACATAATTATATATAATTAAAAGTTAATTTATGATATATAATAATATTTATGTAAACTAATATAAAAATATATCTGATACAATGTTTGCAAAATGTGGGATAGCCTGAACCTTGTGATAAAACAAAAATCAATAATCATCTATCTTCAAAAATTATCGACTTTGATCTTCAAATATTTAACGTCAATGTCAGTCGTTATCTTCCATCTTCTTAATTCTTGTTCTTTTATAGTTCTCTCTCCTTAATAGAGTTTTTCTTTTTGTCATTTTCTTTTACACTCGGTAACCCCTTGCTTCTAATTGGTTTTCTTGCGTTGCTTGAGGTGAAATGATTCAAAATAATAATAATAATAATGAATGAATTGATAAAAAAAAGAAAACAGTGAATAAAAAAAAAACAGAAACAAGAAAAAAAAAAGATCTGTCTTTCATATTTATAAGTCTACCATTTATCCTTGCTTTGAATATTGTTGCAACACCTGGTCTGGTGTTCCTGCTATATATTTAGAGATTCTTGATGAAATCCAAAGAATCTGCAATGTTATTAGTTCTAACCTGGCATCTCGGCTTCAGTCACATTTCTGTGCCTTTTCTATAAATACTTTCATGATCATCGTTTGGATGAACTTTTCCTCTATGGCTTTGAGATATTATGGTGGCTTTAGTAAGAATGGTAAGTAAGAATCTGTTGTTTTAGTTTAAGAAATACTGTAGGATGTTTGGCTCAGTAATTGTGACTAGCTAAGTTTAATTATAACACAGAAGGCAACCAGCCTTCTCCAGCTCATCTTTTGGCTTTGTGCCACCTTTTTGTATTTTACACAAAATAAATATTACTTTCCTCTATGGTACCTAGACTTTATGAATTTAAGAGCAGTACCAGATTGGCAGCTAGGTCTCATCATTTTACAGTTGACTTGGCTCGATGTAACCATAATTTATATGCTAATAGTTTCTTTTTTTTTGCCTGTGTAACTCTTTACCAGTTTTTTGCTTTCCAGCCGACTTTGATCTTCAAAAATTTAAATACGTCAGCTGTTTTCTTCTCTCCCTTCTCTTTTGCTGATCTCTTTCATTCATGTTTTTTTTTCTCATATTCTCTCACACTTAGTAAGCTCTTACATCTTAGTGGCTTTATTTCCTTGCATGAAATGATTAAAAAATGTAAAGAAAACTCCTCTAAAAAATTAATATTGCTTCATTTTTTTTTTTTTTTTTTTTTACAGGTATGTATCTAACACTGTTGTGTTTCGGTGGCCATCTTAAAAGAAAATTGTTCAGATGCAGACCTCTTCCATTTCCGAGACAGTAAATTTGATGAACATTGAAAGTTGGTTGATTCCCTTTTATATTTCAATGTATTTTTTCCATTTGATTGTAAATTTATTAAGGTTCATCTCACATTAACACCATTGTGAAAGGCATGAATCCTCTTATTCTACTCTGCTTCATCACCAGGTATCTTGACAGACTCACTTGACATTGGGTTAATTATTTTACTGGTTAATTTAATGACATATCAGCACTTGTCAGCCTATTTAATCTCATAATTTTTCTTTTTTATTGGTCAACATTGGTCAGGTTTATACTTGAGTAAAATGGTCAACATTAGTTAGGTTTATATTGGACTGAAATGGTCGACATTGGTCAGGTTTATATTGGACTGAAATGGTCAACATTGGTCAGAATTCATACTGAAGAGAAATGGTCAACATTGGTCAGATTTATACTTGAGTGAGATGTTCAACATTGGTCAGATTTATACTTGAGTGAGATGGTCAAAATTGGTCAGATTTACACTTCAGTGAAATGATCAACATTGGTCAGGTTTATATTGGACTGAAATGGTCAACATTGGTCAGGTTTATACTTGAGTAAAATGGCCAACATTGGTCAGAATTTATACTGAAGAGAAATGGTCAACATAGGTGTTGTGGCCTGTTTAGGGGCCAGAAAGAAAGACACGGAAGACGAAGGTAGGTTGAAAAAGTATATTGAAGATATATACAAAACAATAGTGTTAGTAATAAGTAGGTTAGTACTGTGTCTACTACTCCACTCTCTACACTATCCAACTCTCACAGTTTGTATTTATGAGAGGAGGAAGTGTTCATTCTACTGTAGGAGAGTTTACCACAACGATAGGTCAGGTTTATACTTGAGTGAAATGGTCAACATTGGTCAGGTTTATATTGGACTGAAATGGTCAACATTGGCCAGGTTTATACTTGAGTCAAAAGGAAAAAATTGTCAGGTTTATACTTGAGTCAAAAGGCAAATATTCTTCTATGTGCTATATCCCTTCAGGACATTGGTGATCACGGCTCTCCACAATTTCCTGTCCTTTGTAGCTCTTATTAAATTTTGTCTTTTTGCTATCTCTCCTCAACCCTGTTCTGCCAATCATTTGCACAAGCTCACTAGGTAGGTTATGTGCTGTTTTCCTCTGTCCCTCTTGCCTTCAATATTGTAACACCTATATCCAGACCCCACTGGATCGATGTATTCTACAAGACCGTCCATTGGTCCTGTCCTGGTCCAGTATTACAGATTCAATCAAAGTCTCTGGTTCACAATGTCGATTCGATTCCACTTTCCAGCCACATTATGATTTTTTTGATCCTGGAGAGCAATTAACAAATTGTAGATCCCGGAAGGTTCAGCTGGTCTACCTGCAAGTTCGTTGGGTGAGAATTGGGCCAAGTAAGAAATTGGTACAAAAAGAATAATGCTTCTTTTACAAGAAAGTAGTATATATGAAATTGTGCCATAGTACCTATTCTTTGGTAATGGACTCTCCCATAGATAATAAGTAGGAGTAGCAGTGGCAAGTCTGGCTGAACGGTGTTGAGAATGTCAGTTGAGATTCGGACATTTGAAGTACCAACTATCACAACTAGATTTGCTGCGTCATTGACTATTATTTCCCAAGTTCCTAACGTTTTGTATGACTTATTAGAAATACAAGCCTCCACTGTGAAAATACTCCACAACAGAAATAAAGTCCAGAAAAAAACAAAAACAAATATGGCAAATAATTCTGAAAGAAGGTAAGTAGTTTTCGGACTTACCTTTTTTGTTCTTAGTAGTTACCATAATTATCTTAGTAGCAAGCAGACGCTTTCACTCTCACTACCTATCTCTCTTTCTTGTCGACTTCAACTGACCGACTCTGTGTCTCTGACAGTTTGTTTTCACATAAACACACTCTTAAATAAACACAGTGGTAGGTGACAAAAAACCGGGGTGTGAATAACCTTAGAACACATCTTGATTACTGACCTCTCCCCCTTCATGATCGAACAAACCATCTCTTCTTCCCATTTGGTATTCCATAGTTCATATAAACACTATTATTTTGACATTTTATATTAATAATTCTGACAAAGCACAGATTCTCTGGGCACAAACTTCACTACAGGTTATTTTTCCCATCTATCGACAAAATTCTACACTACTACAATTGTTAATATTTCAAGGGTGACCATTGCTCTGTGCCACAAATATGTCTTGACAGTGTCAAATTTTCTAAGCCCCCTTTCCTCATTATGTATAATAGAAATATCAACTCTTTCTGATGTTAAATATAAGTTTTGTTTTCTAAAACTTGTTTCTCACATTTTCAGTTCATGGTATTCTCAACATCCTTCTGTAGAACCACATTGCTATTACTTCAAATTTCTTAATCTGTGATGAGAATGTCCAGCATTCACTGAAATATAGGTGGACTGATATTACATAACAGTTCAGTGCTATTTTCTTTGGTTCTAATGAAATTTTTGTGTTTCTTAATACTTTGCTTACCTTTTGGAAAGCGTGAAAATGCTTCCCAGATATTTAAACTGTTGTATTTGTTTGATTTTGGTATCTCCATTTTGTAATTTGCATGTTCAGCTGTTTTTTTTGTTAACAACCATGCATTCTGTCTCCTTGCAGTTAAAAATTAGTCCTTTTTTCTCACTTTCCCTTACTAAATTCTGTAAGAGTTCTTGTAAGAAAATTGAATTGACAAGCGACAATGAACACTGGGATGGGTGTGTTTTTATATGCTCGGCTCTCCTTTTGTTAACCATGCATTCTGTCTTCTTGCAGTTGATGTTTAGTTCTTTTTTTTTTATTTTCTTTATTTTCTGTAGGAGTTCCTGTAGTTTCCTTTCTACGTCTGCTATCAATACTGTGTCATTTGCATATACTTCTGTTGTTAAGATTGTGGCCACCAATAATGAACCTGGTAGGACTTATTGGTCAGGCTTTTATTACAATCTGGTTTTTATAGTCAAAAGGTAAACATTGGCCTGGTTTATACTCGAGGCAAATAGTAAATGTTGGTCTGGTTTATACTTGAAGCAAATAGTAAATAGTGCAGTTTATACTTGAGGCAAATGATAAACTTTGGTGCAGTTTATACTTGAGGCAAATGGTAAACTTTGGTGCAGTTTATACTTGAGGCAAATGGTAAATGTTGGTGCAGCTTATAGTTGAGGCAAATAGTAATACTGGTCTGGTTTATACTTAAGGTAAATGGTAAATATTAGCCTTATACTTGAGGCAAATCGTAAACAAATAAATCGTAAATTTTGGTGCAGTTTATACTTTAGGCAAATAGTAAATGTTGGCACAGTTTATACTTGAGACAAATAGTAAATATTTGTCTGGCTCATACTTGAGGCAAATTGTAAACTTTGGTGCTGTTTATACTTGAAGCAAATGGTAAATATTTGTCTGGCTTATACTTGAGGCAAATTGTAAACTTTGGTGCAGTTTATACTTGAAGCAAATGGTAAATATTTGTCTGGCTTATACTTGAGGCAAATTGTAAACTTTGGTGCAGTTTATACTTGAAGCAAATGGTAAATATTTGTCTGGCTTATACTTGAGGCAAATTGTAAACTTTGGTGCAGTTTATACTTGAAGCAAATGGTAAATGTTGTCTGGCTTATACTTGAGACAAATGTTAAATATTGGTGCAGTTTATACTTGAGGCAAATAGTAATACTGGTCTCGTTTATACTTTAGGCAAATGGTAACATTGGTCTGGTTTATACTTCAGACAACACAATATAAAAGAGTTTTCCATCTATATATTGTCAGGATGTATTTTGCTCCTTCTGCTCGGCATTTGTTCATGTCACACAAATGCAGGAAGTGTTAATTTCAGTAGCACATATTTTTTTTTAAATTGTAATTTTCTTTGTGAACAGTTCTTTTAAATCAATTTAAGCATTTATTTAGCTAAGAATCGTATTAGAGGAAACATTTTTTGAGTTTTTTTTTTGAGTTTTTGCAGTGAAAATGCATGACAGGACCAGGTAAAAGAGATGCTAGTAAAAGACGCTAAACAATGTATCAATGTAAATGCAGATTATCCCATTCGTCAGACGTTTACAGAAAAATTCTACCCCTAACCCTAACTCTAAAAAACACTAATTGACCCTAATTTTTCCAACAAACAATCGGCAAAACAGTAAATACATCAAATCCTGTCATGCATTAGCACTTTTCATTTTTTTTTAAGAAAATTTAGTTTGTCGGGGGATGTTTTTTCATGTGTTAGAATATTTGTAAATTATTTTTTTCAGTGGAGATGTGTTGGTGATTAATCTTTACGGAAATGTAAAAATTTGTGACTTAAACATTTTTTTTGAGTAAAATTTAATCATGAAAACATTGGTGCATGTTACAAAAAGAATAACATTTTCTCAGAATTTTTTAAAATAAAAAAACTATTCATTATAAAAATAAATAATCAAGGAATATGTACTAAAATTTTCATTTGAATTGGATAATTCACTGACTTTTGGTAATTTAAAAAAGCACTGCATTTCCCCCCAAATTTTCCTTTGAGGGTTTGTGGCCCCCTGTTTGTGAAATTTTGAAATCGGCATGTAGCAGAGAGGGGGCCCTGTATCAAAAGTTTTCTGGGGGGAAGAACTAGTGTTGACCCTGATATCTATCTATATATGTCAGTCTCTTCATATCTATCTATCTATCTGTTCAGATCTATGTATGTATCTATCTAAGTCTGTTGGTATCTATCTATCTAAGTCTGTTGGTATCTATCTATCTAAGTCTGTTGGTATCTATCTATCTAAGTCTGTTGGTATCTATCTATCTAAGTCTGTTGGTATCTATCTATCTAAGTCTGTTCAGATCTATCTATCTAAGTCTGTTCAGATCTATCTATCTAAGTCTGTTCAGATCTATCTATCTAAGTCTGTTCAGATCTATCTAAGTCTGTTCAGATCTATCTAAGTCTATCTATCTATCTATCTAAGTCTGTTCAGATCTATCTATCTATCTATCTAAGTCTGTTCAGATCTATCTATCTATCTATCTATCTATCTAAGTCTGTTCAGATCTATCTATCTATCTATCTATCTATCTAAGTCTGTTCAGATCTATCTATCTATCTATCTATCTAAGTCTGTTCAGATCTATCTATCTATCTATCTAAGTCTGTTCAGATCTATCTATCTATCTATCTATCTATCTAAGTCTGTTCAGATCTATCTATCTATCTATCTATCTAAGTCTGTTCAGATCTATCTATCTATCTATCTATCTATCTATCTAAGTCTGTTCAGATCTATCTATCTATCTATCTATCTATCTAAGTCTGTCAGATCATCTAAGTCTGTTCAGATCTATCTATCTAAGTCTGTTCAGATCTATCTATCTAAGTCTGTTCAGATCTATCTATCTATCTAAGTCTGTTCAGATCTATCTATCTAAGTCTGTTCAGATCTATCTATCTAAGTCTGTTCAGATCTATCTATCTATCTAAGTCTGTTCAGATCTATCTATCTAAGTCTGTTCAGATCTATCTATCTATCTAAGTCTGTTCAGATCTATCTATCTATCTAAGTCTGTTCAGATCTATCTATCTATCTAAGTCTGTTCAGATCTATCTATCTATCTAAGTCTGTTCAGATCTATCTATCTAAGTCTGTTCAGATCTATCTATCTAAGTCTGTTCAGATTCATCTATCTATCTATCTAAGTCTGTTCAGATCTATCTATCTATTCATCTAAGTCTGTTCAGATCTATCTATCTATCTATCTAAGTCTGTTCAGATTCATCTATCTATCTATCTAAGTCTGTTCAGATCTATCTATCTATCTATCTAAGTCTGTTCAGATCTATCTATCTATCTATCTATATCATTATCTATTCATCTATTATCTATCTATCATCTATCTAAGTCTGTTCAGATCTATCTATCTATCTATCTATCTATCTATCTAAGTCTGTTCAGATCGATCTATCTATCTAAGTCTGTTCAGATCTATCTATCTAAGTCTGTTCAGATCTATCTATCTATCTATCTAAGTCTGTTCAGATCTATCTATCTATCTATCTAAGTCTGTTCAGATCTATCTATCTATCTAAGTCTGTTCAGATCTATCTATCTATCTAAGTCTGTTCAGATCTATCTATCTATCTAAGTCTGTTCAGATCTATCTATCTATCTAAGTCTGTTCAGATCTATCTAGCTATCTAAGTCTGTTCAGATCTATCTATCTATCTAAGTCTGTTCAGATCTATCTATCTATCTAAGTCTGTTCAGATCTATCTAAGTCTGTTCAGATCTATCTATCTAAGTCTGTTCAGATCTATCTATCTAAGTCTGTTCAGATCTATCTATCTATCTATCTATCTATCTAAGTCTGTTCAGATCTATCTATCTAAGTCTGTTCAGATCTATCTAGCTATCTAAGTCTGTTCAGATCTATCTATCTATCTAAGTCTGTTCAGATCTATCTAGCTATCTATCTATCTATCTATGTCTGTTCAGATCTATCTATCTATCTAAGTCTGTTCAGATCTATCTATCTATCTATCTATTTAAGTCTGTTCAGATCTATCTATCTATCTAAGTCTGTTCAGATCTATCTAAGTCTGTTCAGATCTATCTAAGTCTGTTCAGATCTATCTAAGTCTGTTCAGATCTATCTAAGTCTGTTCAGATCTATCTATCTATCTAAGTCTGTTCAGATCTATCTATCTATCTAAGTCTGTTCAGATTCATCTATCTATCTAAGTCTGTTCAGATCTCATCTAGCTATCTATCTATCTATCTAAGTCTGTTCAGATCTATCTATCTATCTATCTAAGTCTGTTCAGATCTATCTATCTATCTATCTAAGTCTGTTCAGATCTATCTATCTATCTATCTATCTAAGTCTGTTCAGATCTATCTATATTATCTAAGTCTGTTCAGATCTATCTAAGTATGTTCAGATCTATCTAGTATGTTCTATCTATCTATCTAAGTCTGTTCAGATCTATCTAAGTCTGTTCAGATCTATCTAAGTCTATTCATATCTATCTAAGTCTGTTCAGATCTATCTATCTATCTAAGTCTGTTCAGATCTATCTATTTATCTATCTATCTATCTATCTAAGTCTGTTCAGATCTATCTATCTATCTATCTATCTATCTATCTATCTAAGTCTGTTCAGATCTATCTATCTATCTATCTATTCATCTAGATCTATCTATCTATCTATCTAAGTCTGTTCAGATCTATCTATCTATCTATTATCTAAGTCTGTTCAGATCTATCTATCTATCTATCTATCTATCTATCTATCTATTATCTAAGTCTGTTCAGATCTATCTATCTATCTATCTATCATCATCTATCTATCTATCTATCTATCTATCTATCTAAGTCTGTTCAGATCTATCTATCTATCTATCTATCTAAGTCTGTTCAGATCTATCTATCTATCTATCTATCTATCTAAGTCTGTTCAGATCTATCTATCTATCTATCTATCTATCTAAGTCTGTTCAGATCTATCTATCTATCTATCTATATATCTATCTAAGTCTGTTCAGATCTATCTATCTCAGTGTGTTTGCATCTCAGTCTGTTCATATCGATCTATCTATTTATCAAACAATCTATCTATCTATGTCATTTTTTCATAACTATCTACATATTTATTGATCACATAGTCTGATACCCCCTTCTTAGTAATGGGATATTCTGTTGTTACAGAAACAGGAAACATTATTCAAAACAAATAAGCAACTATGCTGCATATTCCATGATGGAATATCTCACTTCTAAGGTGACAACAGGTTGCTAATGCATTACTTTTGCTTTCTGTTTCCTTTTTAGGTTTTCCTTTGAAAAGACCAATTTCTTTCTTACATGCAACAAGTGAATTAATTGTAAAGATAAAATGCCTTGATTACTGATGCCAAAAGTATCACTAGCACAATACTAAAACGACCTTCAATCGTTTCTTTTTAATGGTTAAACTAGAATAGATGTAATTTTCTAGGGCATTAATGATTAGGACGCAGATGTGGAAGAAATTAAGTTCTGCCTTTGCTCCGTAGGCTTTAGTAAATATATCTGGTGCTGATGATCAATATTAGCTTACTTGCGGGATTTTTTTTCTTTTCCTTTTAGAATTGCTTTGACATTCTTAGCTCTTTCGTTCATTTTATATCATGGCATTTATTTTTTGGTTTTGTCTTTTTTTCTCTTTTTTTTTACTTTCTCCTCTTTTTTTCTTTTCTGCTGCAATTGATGCTTTTCCTCTTTTTCATATTCCATTCAAAATCTTTACATTTTCTTTTCTTTTTTTTACTTTCTACCCTTATTCCCTTGTTTCTCCCCTTTCTTATTTCTACTTCTTTCCTTCCACTTTATTCTTTCTTTTGCCACTCTCTTATTCCTTCTCTTTGCCTCTCTCTTATTCTTTCTCTTTGCCTCTCTGTTATTCTTTCTTTTGCCACTCTCTTATTCTCTCTCTTTGCCACTCTCTTATTCTCTCTCTTTGCCTCTCTCTTATTCTCTCTCTTTGCCACTCTCTTATTCTTTCTCTTTGCCTCTCTCTTATTCTTTCTCTTTGCCACTCTCTTATTCTCTCTCTTTGCCTCTCTCTTATTCTCTCTCTTTGCCACTCTCTTATTCTCTCTCTTTGCCACTCTCTTATTCTCTCTCTTTGCCTCTCTCTTATTCTTTCTCTTTGCCACTCTCTTATTCTCTCTCTTTGCCACTCTCTTATTCTCTCTCTTTGCCACTCTCTTATTCTCTCTCTTTGCCACTCTCTTATTCTTTCTCTTTGCCACTCTCTTATTCTTTCTCTTTGCCACTCTCTTATTCTTTCTCTTTGCCACTCTCTTATTCTTTCTTTTACTACTCTCTTATTCCTTCTTTTTGTCTCTCTTTTAATCTTTCTTTTGCCTCTCTGTTATCACTTCTCTTTGGCAACCTTTTATTCCTTCTCTTTGCCTCTCTCTTATTTCTTCTCTTTGCCTCTCTCTTATTCTTTCTCTTTGCCTCTCTCTTATTCTCTCTCTTTGCCACTCTCTTATTCTCTCTCTTTGCCTCTCTCTTATTCTCTCTCTTTGCCACTCTCTTATTCTCTCTCTTTGCCACTCTCTATTATTTGTTTTTACTCTCTATCATTCTGTCTTTTTATCTATTTCTTATTCCTACCTTTCATTCCTCTTTTCTTCCCTTTACATTTTTTTTATTCCTCCTTCCAGTTATTTTTCATTCATTTAAGACAGTATGCCTCCCAGGTTTGAACTGTTACCCTCAGGACAACGTTTTAATTCTATTAGTTCTTGGACAACGCGATTGAGGGACAGCTTTTATCCTTCGACCCTGCGTAAAATGAAGGCTGCTGCATGCTGACAATTTTCAACATATTTTAAACAGTATTACTTTTCTTCATTCAATAATGTTTTCTTTTGTTTGTCTTTTTTGTTTGTTTGATTTTTGTGTGTGTATTGGTGCACCTGGGGACTGCTACACAATTTCATTGTGCATTGTACCGTGGCAAGAAGAACAAATAAATAAATCATAAATAAATTAGTATATTTCTGATACTTTGTGTGTTCTTTTCTCCTTCCTATTTTTCATTCTCTTTTCTCATTTTATAAACTCATTAAATTCTTCTTTCATTTAAAATTTTTTCATGCCTTCATTTCTTACTTCTTTTCTTACTTCTTTTCTTCATTTTTCTTTTCATATTTCATTTGTGTCATACATTCATTTTCAGTCATTTTTCATTTTTCTTTTTCTTTCATTTCTTCTTTTTATTCTTATTGTTTGCCTCATTCCAGTTTTATTTTTTCTTTTCTTTCTTATTCATCATTTCATTCACTTTTTTTTTCCATCAATTTTCTTCTTGATATCTTATTTTCTCTTTCATTAGTTCTTTCATTATTTTTCAGAAAAATGCACGTGCTCTTTTCTGTAGGATTATGACAGATATTAATACATTCATAATATTAAAAATTGAAAAAGAAAATTATGTCTCCACATTATATATGCTGGCACTATTCTATCTGTAATGCTTGCATTAATTCCTGACCACTGACAATCCCTTTCTTCTTGATTTTCAATACATTTTTATAGTAAATTATCAGTAATGCTCACATTAATTCCTGACCACTGACAATCCCTTTCTTCTTGATTTTCAATACATTTTTATAGTAAATTATCAGTAATGCTTGCATTAATTCCTGACCACTGACAATCCCTTTCTTCTTGATTTTCAATACATTTTTATAGTAAATTATCAGTAATGCTTGCATTAATTCCTGACCACTGACAATCCCTTTCTTCTTGATTTTCAATACATTTTTATAGTAAATTATCAGTAATGCTTGCATTATTTCCTGACCACTGACAATCCCTTTCTTCTTGATTTTCAATACATTTTATAGTAAATTATCAGTAATGTTTTGCATTAATTCCTGACCACTGACAATCCCTTTCTTCTTGATTTTTCAATACATTTTTATAGTAAATTATCAGTAATGCTTGCATTAATTCCTGACCACTGACAATCCCTTTCTTCTTGATTTTTCAATACATTTTTATAGTAAATTATCAGTAATGCTTGCATTAATTCCTGACCACTGACAATATTTTTTCTTCTTGATTTTTCAATAAATTTTATAGTAAATCATCAGTAATGCTTGCATTAATTCCTGACCACTGACAATCCCTTTCTTCTTGATTTTCAATACTTTTTTTATAGTAAATTATCAGTAATGCTCACATTAATTCCTGACCACTGACAATCCCTTTTCTTCTTGATTTTCAATACATTTTTATAGTAAATTATCAGTAATGCTCACATTAATTCCTGACCACTGACAATCCCTTTCTTCTTGATTTTCAATACATTTTTATAGTAAATTATCAGTAATGCTTGCATTAATTCCTGACCACTGACAATCCCTTTCTTCTTGATTTTCAATACATTTTTATAGTAAATTATCAGTAATGCTTGCATTAATTCCTGACCACTGACAATCCCTTTCTTCTTGATTTTCAATACATTTTTATAGTAAATTATCAGTAATGCTTGCATTATTTCCTGACCACTGACAATCCCTTTCTTCTTGATTTTCAATACATTTTTATAGTAAATTATCAGTAATGCTTGCATTAATTCCTGACCACTGAAAATCCCTTTCTTCGTGATTTTCAATACATTTTTATAGTAAATTATCAGTAATGCTCGCATTAATTCCTGACCACTGACAATCCCTTTCTTCTTGATTTTTCAATACATTTTTATAGTAAATTATCAGTAATGCTTGCATTAATTCCAGACCACTGACAATCCCTTTCTTCCTGATTTTCATATTAAAACTATAAGCAATGCATAAACATTACACATATAGCAGCCTTGTCAGCAACACCAGCATTAATTCCTGACCACTGACAATCCCTTCTTCACCTCGTTTTTTATTTTTCCCTGTTGTTGCCTCTGCCATTTTTTCAGCACTGTTTTATGGCTATCTGCCATTTTTAAAATTATTTTAAAACTGATGTTACATTGTCAGTCATCAACTAATAATATACATCATGCATCTGCAGAGCCGATGCGGTGCATACTACACAGGTACCCCCCACTCCCGACAAGGTTGTAGCCCCAGAAGGGTTAGTTTCAGCAGCATTTTTTTTTTTTTTTACTTTTTGTACTTTTTTCTACCTAAGATATGTTGTCAATCATCAACTATAATAATCAATGGAGATGGTGCTTACTACCCCGAACCTCTCAACTGCATCAGGGCCCCATGCCTACTGGGAGTGGGGAGAGGCAGAGGTACTAATTTCAGTAGCTCTTATTTTTTTAAATTGTAATTTTCTTTCTGAACAGTTCTTTAAAATCAATTAAAAGAGTAATTGTTATAGTGGAACACACCTATTCTATAGTTAATAAACTCTCCCACCTATAATAAGTAGGAGTAGTGAACCTTTTTTAGGACCGACTTAGTACAAATACAAGCCTCCACTGTGAAACCACTCTACAACAGTAATATATCTCAATAAAATCATATTTTTATTCCAAGATCATCCACTAAGGAGGATCACTGATTTTTTTTTTTTTTACTAATAGTAATACTAGCCAGAAGTTCACAGCTAGTAATTAAAATAAAATTTCTAGTCCCTATTTTTTACATTTCTAGAAAGATAAAACCGAAAAAATGATCGCTTAAAAAAATAAAATGTTTTAAAGATTTCAACACATAAAAAAATTCCTGAAAACTTAAATACTGTTTTTAAAACAAATATTTAAGACAGTCCTATTTGTGTTGTGTTGGAATCTTTGTAAAACTATTTTTTCAGTGGAGATGTGTCAATGATTAATCTTTATGAAAATGTAAAAATTTGTGACTTTAACATTTTTTGAAGTAAAATTTAATCATGAAAATGTTGGTATTTATTACAAAAAGAATAATATTTTCTCAAATTTAAAAAAAAATAAAACCCCTATTCATTATAAAAGTAAATAATTAATGAATGTGTACTGAAATTTTCACTTAAATTGGATAATTGCTTGATTTTTGGTAATTTAAAAAAGGGCTGCCCCCCCTCTGAATTTTCCCTCAAGGGTTTATGACCCCCAGGTTGGGAAAGTTTGAAATCAACATGTAGTAAAGAGAAGGGGTGGGGATTTGTATCAAAAGCCAGAATTTGAGATGTCAGCAATAAATCCAACTGAGAAGATACCAGATTATATAAACAACTTTTTCATCAATATCTTAATTGTTTATTCAATCGGCATTTCAATAAAATACTGGTGTTAGTTTTGCATATTCCTGTTTCAATAGAAGTCAAAATCAGAATTTGAACTGTGAGATTTTCTTTGCAATTTTCCCATGTTTAAATTGAAGCTGACTTTAATGACTGTTCAAAAAAGCTATATGGAAATGTTCATTATATAAGTCTATTCATATCTACTTCATATATAGGTTTTTATTATCTATCTCATTCTGTTCATCTGTTCATGTAGTGTGTCATATCTATCTCGGTTTATTCATATCAATATCTAGTTTTTCAATATTTATCTAATGCAGGCTGTTCATACATGTAACACTGTTCATATCTAATCCAGTCTGTTCATATCTATATATAGCTTTTATTATCTATCTATCTATCTATCTATATATATATATATATATATATATATATATATATATATATATACAGAGAGAGAGAGAGAGAGAGATGAACAGGCTGAGATATATATATATATATATATATATATATATATAAGCCTGTTCATATCTATTCCAGTCTATTCATATCTATATATAGCTTTTTATTATCTATCTATCTGTCTATATATATGGGAGAGAGATGAACAGGCTGATATATATATATATATATGAGCCTGTTCATATCTATCAATATATATTTTATTTTGTTATCTATTTCAGTCTGTTCATTATCTATCTATCCGATTCAATATATATATATATCTATATATATATATATATATCTCAGCCTTATCATATTTATCAATATATATTTTATTCTGTTCATATCTATCTATCTATCTGTCTATATATATAATATATATATATATGAAAGCCTGTTTATATCAATCTCAGCCAGCTCATATCAATATATCTATCTATCTCAGCCTGTCCATTATCTATCTAGCTATGTATCTATAAATCTACCTGTACGAATTATCAAGTTTTTCATAAATATATATATATATATATATATATATATTATTCTGTTCATATCTGTCTCAACCTGTTCATATCTGTCTAAGCCTCTTTATACCGATATATCTATCTATCTTTTACCACCTGTTTATATCTGTTTATCTAATTCAGCCTGTTCATTATTAATATATATCTTATTCTGTTCATATCTATCACTATAATATGAATATACATATATATAATCAGTATTATCTCTCTCTCTCATTCTTTTCATATCTAACCTATCTGTCTATTTCAGTCTATTCATAACTATTTATCTCAGTTTATTCATATTTATTTATGTCCCAGTCTATTTATATCTATCTATCTATAAATTGTTCAAGATATTTAGATAAATAATCCACAGAGGTTGATATGCAAATAAACAAAATCAACTAAATCTATTTCTTTCTCTCACTCTTTTTATATATATATATATATATATATATATAATTATTATTATATTTTTATTATAAGAGATTATAATAAAAACATTTTGAAATTGCTACACAAAAGCTTTCATGTTTCAATACTATGATTACTTACAATTGCCTGAAGAAATACAA